CGGTCGGTGAGGGGAGCCTCCCGGAGACAGGGGGGACTTGAACTGCCGTCTTACGTGCTCCATCGCGTTGGCTTCCCCCAATGTATTTGTGGAGTTAATACCAAACCCTCTGGTGTGTAGCCTGCGTGGCCGTATTAAATGACTATTTAAACGAGAATAGTTAATTTTAAAATACCTAGAATCCATTCCTCCCCTCGCTCCTTGCGCAGCCGCTGCTCTCTTCGATCGTGAGAATTTTGCATCATAATGTAGATTTTTTTTTTTTAATTCTGAACGTTGCTATTTAAATTCACAGTATATATATATCTGTGGGAGAGAGACTTTTAAGTTAAATTAAATGCTGAACTATAACGATGTTAAGAAAACAGCTTTAAAGAAGCTAGTGATTTTATAACAACAGATAGTAAAATTGCGAGTTTGGGAAACTATTGACAGTGCTGAAGTGTAAACTTTTAGGTGGACGGGTCATATTTTCCTCAGTGACTTCTACCAATAGTTAGTGCTCAGTTAAATAAAATCTAGACGTTTGTAGAGTTTATTTGTTCCATGAGCTAATGTAATTAAAATTCTGAAACCACGTAGCCGTGCAATTCTAATACACTTTTTAAAGAGGTGATAACCAAGGCAGCATATGGTCTTGTAAAGTTATACCTTAGTTTGTTAATATCCACTTGAGCGTTTGTTGTTACCATGCACTAGGGATGAAACTGTGCTTTGGGTGAGGTTGTGTCTGAAATCCATGCTGATGTTAAGCTTGCTCAAACTTGCATGTAAAAAGACAGATTTTTTTTTTTTGTAAATGAATTGTGAAAATCAAATTCTGTTTATTGTATTTTACCCCTTGCATAAGTCATGGAGGGACTGCAGGTAGAACTATATCACTGTTACCTATTTTAGCCCAATAAATACAAAAAAAAAAAAGAGGATTTTTTTTCTGTTAGAAGGAAGAGTTGGTGATGCAGCCAGATATTAAGTTTTAACTCTGTTTACTTACCAGATCTGTGCAGAAATCCTGCGTCCTTGAACAGCAGAGACAGCACCTTTGCTCACAATTCTGAGACCCTTTCATATAGTGCTCAACTCCAGAAACGCTCTCTCTAGCTTTTATTCCAGATTGTGTTGCCAGCACCTCCTGAAGCTGCATTTGACGCTTTGTCTGCTTTCTTTGTGGCACCCGTTCCATGTACTTACCTTGATACCATTATTAGCTTAAGGTGTTCCACATCTAAAGGTTTTATTGTGTTGAGGCCACCTTGTATATGCTATAGATCTCAAAACACCTTTTAGGTGCTTGCGTTATTAACCTTGGATCCTTTGTAGCCAAGGAGTGTTTTGTGCAGCTGTAGTGTTGCCATCTACGAAGCTGCATATAACTAAACTTTCATAGCGTTGATGCACATTAGTGACAATTGCCGTGTTTCACAGCAGAGATGCACCAGATCATGTTTTGCATTGCAATAGTTCCTGTGGATCACTACGAATGGAAATAAACATTGTCATCCTTAGGACACTTGCAAAGTTTGTCTCGTGTTCAGTTCCACATTCAGTAGCAGGTATGCAGTAGCTGCTGCTATCTCAGGTACTGCATGCTTAGTCCTGCTATAAGGAGCTGGGTGGCTGGGGTATCTTGGCAGGATGAGTAAAAAGCTGGGCGTGGTTTTAAAAACAAAACGAAAATCCCACAGCCACTTGCCCACCACATATCTTAGAGGGAAATTTAAAGGAAGATGTTCCCTTTTTATTGAGGGCATTAACAGAAAGATGCAGAGCCCCCGAAGAGTCACGATGTTACCAAACCAGGACGTTCTGATTTTTAACTGCCACTGAAATAATAATTGGCCCAAGCTCGTTATTTAAAAAGAAAGAAACAAACAAAATAAACACCCCAAAACGCCAAATCCACATATTTTTAGCACTTTGAGATGAGCTTTTCATATTTGAGTTTGGAAAGCACTGAGGTTTTATTTTCTATCCTTTTTCACACAAATGTGGAGGCTCTCTCCTTTCAAGACTGAAATCTTAGGATATCCCATAACCGTGTGCTACTGCCGTTTTATAAAATGCTGTGATACTCCTGATAAACAGAACATGCTCGGTTGGACATGTGCAAAGAATAAATGGTCTCCTAATAACTTTATTAAAATTTATTTTACCTTTTAGAACACAATGAACGTGGAACATGAAATTAACCTCTTAGTTGAGGAGATTCAGCGGCTGGGAACCAGAAGTAAGTATTGTAATTTCTCTGACCATACAGATGCAGATGTGTTATACCAACTTCTGAACTTGGCAGGTTTAATTAAACAGGCTGAGGTATCCTGAAAAATTGTGTATGTAGTTAATGTTGGACTGCATGGTACTCTCTAGAACTCATTCTCTAAAGTTAGAACCCATTATGAAGTTAAACATTTAAGCCTCTGCAGCACAGGCGAGGTTGGCCTGAAATCTTATTCCCACTAAAATCAACTGCAAAATTATCCTTTCATTTGGACTTCAAAGATACTGGCTGCAGCCATCAAAGAAAAAAGTTGCACCTTTACCTTCCACCCACTTCCTTGGTAACTACTGAGCTTCAGTACAGTATTCATATACTTCAATTCTGTTCATCCTAGTATTATTTGGAGGGAATTGATCTGTATGCTTAAAACTCTAATCCGGGAGTTGTAGTCCCAGCCTCCCCTTGAACTTGGTTAGAATGTAGACTTTGCTCTTCCGGATGTTTTTCATTGTTAAAATTTGACTTTCTTTGCACATATTTATGCAATTTGTGGATGTGGGACCTGCTCATGTATTTCAGTTCTGATGCAATTCCATTTATTTCCGTTTATTTTTCAAAACTCAACTGTCATGCACATCTTGCATTTCATATGACTGTATATGTCTTTTAGGAATAACCTGGCTAGCCGTAACATGCATTTTCGAATTCTTACCTTGTGTGTGAAAAATGCGCTCACGCTATTTCAGTGTGGACCTTAAATATTCATAAACGTAAACATTTTTTAAAAACAAATTTACTCCTTGTGCTTTGAAGATGTTCAATACTCTGGGTTGGTCATAGATTTCAGAAGTCATCAGTAAAAATAAACACAGTAGATATGTGGTCCTGCATACAAGTCACTGGGGGGGAAAAAAAGGGAAAGTCTTACCAGGTGGGAACTTTGCCTAATATTTATCATCAGCATTCATAGTATCTTCCCCACAAGTGCTCTTTTTAACAAAGACAAACATCATGGAAGTGAAGTGAGGCATCAGGTTGATGGCATTTGGGAAACGCCACGGGGTTTACTTTCAGCATTCTGACTGTTTCACTTCTGTACTGCTGTAATCTCCTAAATGAAAGACAATCTGTGTGTGTTTTCATGTTCTGTCTTTGATTTAGATGCTGATGGACAAGTGAGTGTGAAATTCGGTGTGCTCTTTGCTGATGAAAAGTGTGCCAACCTCTTTGAAGCTCTAGTGGGAACTCTTAAGGCTGCAAAACGACGAAAGATTGTCTCTTATCAAGGGGAGCTACTTTTACAAGGTGTTCATGACAACGTTGATATTATGCTACTGCAGGACTGAAGCAGTGTGCATTTCAACTGTGCATTAATTGAATTGTTTCAGGCAGTGACTTGCAATATCCTCTGAATAAGGCTAATGATTCTAATATGTTTTGATGTATTTTCTATCTCTTTATAGTCAAAAGGAAGCCATCCTATTTTGGAAACATTCCCTTTTGTAATTCTTCTTCAAACAGTACTGTACACAATTAAAGTGAAAGATGCCAGTATTTTTTTTTTGTTGTTGTTTTTAAATCTCAGGTAATACTCATAAAGGTATTCAATGGTTATTTTCAACACATGAAGAAGGGGATTGGGGATATAATGTTTACAAATTAAAATGTGCCATGAAGGTATAAAATAAAAGCACATACTTAAATTTATACCGCTGGGTTTTTTTATTTGCAAGCTGAAATGAAAGCAGATTGAATTCCTGTAAGCAGCGTGGTTCGATGACTGTACAGCAAATATGCCAGTGAGTTAAAAATAATTTTGCAGCATGGTTCAGTCAAAGAATACCCATCCTTTGTTATGGGGAGCAAAAACAAAGAAAGAACATTGAGGCAGATGTGTAAGTAGGCTTGCTTCAGAGCAGGTTTATAAGAGCAAAGTGAGCGCTGCATGTTCAACAAGGCACAGACTTGTAATAATTTGCTTCTGTGTGGCAATCACAGTTTTACTTCCCACACTGCTGAATTCCCTCAGCAGAATTTACTATAACCTCCAGCCTTTCCCACCTCTGTGTTGCATGTTCCTCCTGTTAGTGGGAGGAAGCATAGCTGAGGCAAGCCAATGCTACAGCAATTCCTCATTGTTTCCAGCTCCATACAAGCAATGGCAGTGAGGAATGCAGCTGTAGAGCTTCTTCAGCTTGTCTCCTGGCTCAGATGAGAAAGGAAAGAGCGCATAAACACATCGTAAGTATGAACTTGTTTTCAGTCTAGAATTACTTTCCAAGCTCATTTCCTTTAACAGTAATTTTCACTATTGTCTTTTTCTCATGAGACTAACAGACAAATAAATGTTTGCCTACCCGTATGTCACCCAGTGTTTGTTTAATGACCAGATTATGCACAGAAAGCTACAAATGATAGCTGTGCCCCCTCCATCTCTGGCAGTGTAATATGCTTTCATTTATTTGTCTTCTAGTCTTATGAAGGAAATGGGCGAGGAGTTCCCTGAATGCTTTAATGCAGAGTTAACCGGAAGTGATACAGCAGCTTCACATTGTGATTATTTCTCTGACAGAAATCATGTTCTCTTAATCACCCTGAGCATAAATTGGGAGGAGGGGGAAAAAGAGCCCTTCAGATTGTTTTGTAGCCTACTGCTAATTCTTAGCAGGCTAAAGTACTCCCTCCAGTAGGGAGAAAGAGTTGTTTTATGGGGAGAGCAATAGTGGGTCTAAGCAAACTGCCCACTGTTCTGCGCTTCTACTCTTCACTTACCACTTTTCAAAGTTGGTGAATTTGCCAGGTGGGTGAATTTCCCTCTACTTAACAGCCTTTTGCAAGTGCAGAACGCCTTAAGGATGCCTTTTTATTTCTAGATACAGGAAATGCATGCACAGCTATGGAATTTCTACTAAGCTGTGTAGTTCCAGCTGCTATCCCTTTAATCTTTGTTTGCTCTACTTCGTGCAGCAAGAAAAAAACTTAAAGCACGTGTACAAACAAACTTGGGCTGCCTCTGCCTGTGCTGGCTCCAGAGTCTGGAGAGCAGGGAAGTGATATGCAGGGAAGCGCAAGCTGTCTGTGTACAGGCCAGCTCAAGTTCAGAAGCAGAGCAGACTGTTAGCAAGGTTTACTGGCTCCTTGAGCAGTGTCACTCAAGGGCCACTATTCTGTTTCCAGACCTGAGCTGGCAAGTGCATGGGCCCCTGTACCCCATGGGTAGAAGGGGGACTGAGGCCAGGCCTTCTGCATCTGGGATGAGAGCAGAGGCCTTTGCGTTACCAGATAACCACAGTTATTTTTTCCTCTGCCTCTGTTTTACAGAAGGCCAGAGTCATTGTCTGACTTCATAGGATAGTCTGAGTATAGTGAGATACTGAGCGCTTTGTGATTCTTTGGGGGGTGGGGTTGGGTAGGGGAGAGTACCAGCCAGCCCCACAGAGGACAGAGTTCTCTGGGTGTGTTACCAACAGCTTGGTAAGCACTGAAGGGGCTTTAGGCTGGAAAATTTAGGTACGAGTAAATTTAAGGCTCAGTGTAGGGTAGGAGCTGAGAAGGGATTATGAAGGGACTTTTATGTCTGCTTTTGAGTTTATCCTCTTACCAATGCTAATAAATGTATCCATAGCTTCTGGGAACACTGTGTAGCAAGAGACAGAGAAACTTGGCGCTAAAGCAAACGTGTAACAACCACAGGAGACTCTGATTGTGTACTGCCCCAGGGAGTTGAGATTAATTTTTTGCTCTGCTTCTGGAAGCAGAAGAGGAACAATGTACACAAAAACCTATGTGCAAGAACTTATCCAAGGTGCAATGTATAACTTGTCCAGTGGCTCCTGAGTTGCGTAGGCTTCTTTAGACTCCATACCAGCACTCATGACCTCATTTCTAAATTAGTCACAGAGAAAATCAAGTGCTAAGTGTTTCACATGTGTGGGGCCATGCCTCTGTATCCTCTTGCCAGAAGGAAATAATTACCACAGCTAATGGCCTAGACGCAAGATATGGTTCCTGGAGCACTTGACACCATAATGGAAAAGCTAATTACGAGAAAGACATTACCTATTTCTGTAAGCAATGGGACAGTTAGCAATCCACTGTGGTGGGTTCATGACCCTATCAGTCATGGCTCTGAGGGAAATGAGGAGGTCAGCCAGGAACAACAGTGATTCCAAAATAGCAAGTCATTCCCGATTGCTGTGACGTAGGAAGATGTAAAGGTATGATCTCTGACAACAGCATCAAAGAGTGGTCAATAGAGTGGCTACCTGTGTATCCCAATGCTAGGAAGTTATTTAAGGAGTAGCTTGGCTCGTCCAGTCTTACCACCTCACCTGCTTCCATGCAAAATCCGATGACTGCATATAAATGCGCTTTCCAAGGCAGTTTTGACTAAGCCGTGAAGTGGAACTTGAGCAAATGAAGGACTGAAACGTAGGGAATATTGTCTTTCCCATGCCTCTTCCCCATTGGAATGAATTTTGAAAATGCATGTTGTTTTTGCTCATTCCCCACCTCCTCTCCAAAGCTTTCCTGCAGGTTTTCTTTCTGCTTCAAGGGGTTTCTCTTGGTGACAGCAATGCCACTTTTGCAATTTGTATCTGTGTAAAGCTGGTTGTCTTTACTTAGATTCTTTGTCACAAAAAAATACTTGAATGAAAGAGAAGAGTGGCAGGCTATTCTCACACACTGTTTATATTGCAGCTGATACCTAGTAGTTCTACTTAAAAATAGCTGAATGTTTTGGAGACAGGCTGAGATTCTCTTGTCCTCCAGCAGCAAGAAGTGGCTGTTAAGCGAGTTTAAACAGTTGCAGAGCCTTTGTTGGACCAATACCGTATGAAACAATGAATGCTACAGGACTGGCCTTATGGCTCCATGTCAAAACATTACAAAAAATTAATGATATTTTTGAATCACCCCCACCTAGTTTAAAAGACCAGTTCTGAAGTTTCGGTCTGCACAGTTCAGCATAATTCACATTCGGTATTGCCTGAAAATCCTCTGTCTGATAATTGTGTGGCAGGAATCGTGGTTTCAAGGACTTAAAACACAAACAAACAAACAAAAACCAACTTATGCTTTCTTTTGGAAGCTGACAAAGTCAGTAACTTTTACAAAAGCGTTCATGTCCTTCTCGAGCAAATGTGGGACTTCTGCTCTGTAATGAATCTTTATCTGATGGAGCTTAAGAAGGCAATTCATTCTGAACTCAGCCACAAAGGCTAGAACTAAATATGGACAAAGCAAGGAAGAAAAATGAACTCCTAGACCAAAAATATGTTTCAGTGCTGTGACAGCTGTTTGGAACAACAGGTAATATGACTAGGTTAAAGAATATGAGTTTGATGATGCAATAGCATGTTTAAGTCTGAATACCTTTCAGTGCAAAAGTCGGTATGACGTACTTCGTTTTGCACCCTAAATGACCATGGTGTATGCCAAAAATACTCTGTTTTTTCTGCTTCACTACAACTAGTCAAACTTTTTTAGGAAATAGACCATTAAGTTGTGATAAGGGTGCACCTGCCTGCTTTCGTGCATGCTGTTATGTATCACAAAAAAAGGTGAGGACAAAACAATTACTAAGCGCTATCAAGTAGGTGCAGCCAGGATCACGGTCAAAACTGTTGATGCTACAGGTGACACTTGGAAAAATAAAGGTCTGCCTTAGCTCAATGCACAAACACTATATCAACTTAGATCTTTGGAAGAGTTGATTTTAATGGCAAGATATCTTCAATGTTTTAATATGAAATCACTTTCTCAAATAAAATCAACAGCAGATTGAAGAGAAGCACCAGAGCAATGATTTCAAAGAGTCTATATTTCAATATTTCTAGGTACTTAAAAAAAAAAAAAAGGTATAGGTTAGTTAAGGATAACTGCATAGCAGCATTTTTTAGAAAACCAGTGTGTATTTAAGATCTTGTTACATAAACTACTTTTACGGAATTGTTCTAATAAGGTTTTCCTGAGGGTGGCAGTTCAGTTTAGTTCTACCATTGTGAGTACATCTTTAGTCACAAACACAATATAGATGCATATTTAAGCAGCTGAAGCTAGTCTCCTGGCAGGTATTTTGACTAAAGCTCCAGAAGAAGTGGTGTCTTATGGTGTAGCATAGATGTCATCGCAGATTGCAGTTATCTCTGCCAGAGCACTAAGCGATTCTGAGAGTTTAAATACCAGGCTGGTACCTGGAGAAGGAGTAGTGTGATCTACAAACACACTCCAGGATCTTGTCGGATGAAATCCAGGTCACACTTCCTTTCAGTCAAATGCTTAGAGCATTAGACCTGACGCTTAGACCTGAACATTTTCCAGCACAGCATTTTCACAAATATAGCAGCATTGTGTTCATGACCTTGTTCCTTTTTGGAGCTTATTCTGGCACAAACACTGCAATCTGAGTGACATTAAAAGTCATAAGGCCACTCTGCTGTCCTTAAAGCTGTTCCTCTAGCGAAAACAATAATATATACCATACATTTATGTATGCATATTATGCATCCATGTCGATACAACATGTACCCACAACCTGACAATTTTTCACAGCGAGGAAGTGCTCAGTAAATGATGTATTTGAATAGAAATTTAGTGAGCTGCATTTAGCAGTCTTCTGCAAGTCTACTAAATGCCACAAAAGATCACTTTGGAAGGACTGAGAGTTTATACCTTGCAGGATTTGGCCTTGCGTG